CTGTCCTCACCTTCCTACCCTGCCCACTCTAGGGCACGTGGCCCAGAGATGGATCAGTGCTAGATACCTGCCGGCAGTGCTGTTTGGTGAGGAGACACTGCGTACTGCATGCACTGCAAATGCCTGGCCTTCTGGGCTGCTGGCCTCTACAGGCTTCTCGAGCCTCTCGTGGGCACTGGCACTGGGTCCCTCAGGCCCTGGCAGAGCCCTCTCCTGCCTAGTCCTAGCCCGTGCCTTCTCTTCGCTTTGTAAATCGGGCATGGAGCGCTGGGCATGGTGGCATACCCCTGTGACCCAGCACTCGAGAGGCTGGGGCAGGAGCATCGCTAGGAGTTTGCAACCAGACCCTGTCTCCACGCCCCCTTCCCCAGTACACATAAGAAATCGGACAGTGGTAGTGGTACACTATACTAAAAGCTCTCACCCCTCTCTCTCCTCTGCCCCCTTCTTTCCTCCACAGAACTTTGTGCAGCCCCTAGAATTTGGGTGCCAAGCACCAGAGTCAAGATAGCCACTGTGAGCCCGGGCGTGGTGGCACATGCCTGTAACCCCAATGCTGGGGAGGCTGAAAACAGGAGAATCACCATGAGTCTGAACTGAGCAGCGAGACCCTGTACCAAATACATTAATAATAATAATAATAATAATAATAATAATAATAAAGATCGCCACAGCAAAAGGTGGCCAGGGAAGAAAATAAACACTGACAGCGTATCTTAAAATAGCATGGTGACCGGAGAGGGGTCCCTGAGGGACAACGTCCTGCTCTTTGACCTGACGTAAGCGTTGTTCTTCTAATGTCTTCTCACCCCACGTACACAATACATATTTCAGGAATGGTTTTGCACTTAAAAAGTTCAATGTTTCTCTCTCTCTCTCTTTTTTTTTTTTTTTTGTGGAGCTGGGACAGAGCCCGGGCCCAGCCGTACCAGGCAGCACTCGCCCGAGCTGCACCCCAGGCCTAGCTGCTAAAGAGCTGACTTGCAAAACCCAAACAAGTGGCTGGTTCGGGGCTGGAGAGATGGCTCAGTGGTCTAAAGCACCTATTTAGAACAAGCTTAGCAAAAGCATCAGGGACCGCAGTTCAATCCCCCAGCACCACAT